CAGTTGCTAATATTTTTCTTGCATCAACGTCTTTTTCCCATCTTCAAGTATCATTCTGTAAACCTGCTTCACCTTGAATCGCTGTTCATTGCTGTAAGATTGTGATAGAAAGTTTCGGCATGTGCTAGGTTGCCCCAAAAGTAAACTCCTTTTTGAATAATTCGAGCTGTTTTTGTTCTAGTAAACCTGGGATATCATTCAATACAGACCAAGCTCTATAAAATGACTACAAAAAGTAGTCGCACATGTAGAGGTTGCAGCGAAAAATCGAAAAAAAAATTTCTCTCAAAAAAAATGGATTCTCAAGAGAAAGAATCCTAGGGACCTTCAACTTGGTCATTACACAGTAGGCACATAGTAGTCTCAAATATGTACTGGATTTCATCGGCAGAAAGCGAAAAAAAGATGCTTCAAAAATGGCAACTCTATCTTCCCCCTCCCTCCCCCCCCCTTCCAGCCGCTCCCACATAAAGTGCGGTTCATAATTATACGACCACCCAAAATTTTGTAAGTTTTTGGGCTTTTTGGGAGAATCTCGAAAAGCCGTTGATACCACGCGATAGAGCACAGCCAAAAACGGTATATGATCCATAAGAATGGAAATTCATGTCAATTGTAGGAGTGTTTTTGCGCCAAATGCGAATTTTCAGCGGTTCCTAATTATACGAACACCTCAAACAAAGGTCCATTTTTCATTCAAGATTGCAAACATTTGAGTCCAAATTTTTTTTAGAGTTACAGTGGCAAAGTTTAACATATCTGCTACACACTAAACCTAGTGCAGTTCTAAAAGAGGACCGTTATTTTTTTCAGAATGCTCTAAGTGCTCGTATAGTAGAAGTGCTTCTGTGCCAAACAGGTTTGTTAGGTGTTCTTTATTTCCAATCACGACCTAACGTTTCGACGCCTTTCGTCTTCCTCAGAGGCCTGAAAATGGCTCAAAGCGTCACCCGTGAAACGAAGCCATCAAGTACCATTTCCACTCCTGCTAGTTCCCAACCTTCGTTCAACATTCCTACCGTAAAAATTGCTATGCCAGAAGATGAACATACCCTGTGAACACCGCTTTTTGGGGTTCCGCACCGGAAGTGATGGTCTTGGCGGATAGAATGGACTATACCATATAAGCACATAAGTGATCTACAGTCTGCATAGAGTTATGAAGGGGAGGAAGTCCGTGGTAATTGACAAACACTCATTCTTATTGTTCATTGCTGGATTCTTCGCAGAAATGCAGAATGCTTCTTCTTCTTCTTTCTTTTCTTGTATATTTACATCAACACAGTCCGAAATGGACGAATGTTTCGAAGATTTGAGCCAGCAGTCGCAGTACATAAAGCTCACACGAGAGACACCACACGACGGATGGCTGCCTTACCTCAACGCGCAAGTAAGATTATCCAATGGTATTGCTAGCCCTAAAATGGTACGCAAAGAAAGCTCGAAGAACATCCTTTTAAATGTTAAATCATCCTGCATCTATCTACGAAAAGAGCGGTGATCAAGAATATGTTCAGAACGGCTATGCAGATGTGCTCTGGAGAAAGAGAACGATGCGAGTCGCGAGATCTGGCCTCCAAGATTGCTTGCAGCAACGGTTATCATTCTTTGCCGCGTGATCAACATCAGGCGAATGGTAACAAAATCCGCGACAACAAGCTGCTCCCACTGTGCCTTCCATTTATTTCTGATAACATCAGTGCGGCATTTCGAAAATGTATTTCACGTGCACAACTGCAAAACGATATTGTTTTAGTCGATATCCCAGGTGACAGTATCAAAACGCAGTTAGTTCGAAACAGACTTTACGATCGGTACTGTTTAACAAATCGATGCGTAGTCTGTCCGCACGGCAAAATAGGTGATTGTGCACAAATGGTTGTAGTATATCAGTTAGAATGTTTATGCTGCAACGCCATCTATATTGGAGAAACTGGCAGAACACTTAGTACTCGCGTAAAAGAACATCTTGCAGATAAAAGGCGTAAAACATTGTTTTCACCTCTAGGCAAGCATAGGCACGATTCGCATGGTGGAGACGATTTTGATATCAAATGCCAAATCTTGGCACATGAGAAGGAAACCTCGGCGAGGAAGGCGTTAGAAGCATTCTGGATTTCTGCGAAGAATCCAGCAATGAACAATAAGAATGAGTGTTTGTCGATTACCACGGACTTCCTTCCCTTCATATCTCTATGCAGACTGTAGATCACTTATGTGCTTATATGGTATAGTCCATTCTATCCGCCAAGACCATCACTTCCGGTGCGGAACCCCAAAAAGCGGTGTTCACAGGGTATGTTCATCTTCTGGCATAGCAATTTTTACGGTAGGAATGCTGAACGAAGGTTGGGAACTAGCAGGAGTGGAAATGGTACTTGATGGCTTCGTTTCACGGGTGACGCTTTGAGCCATTTTCAGGCCTCTGAGGAAGACGAAAGGCGTCGAAATGTTAGGTCGTGATTGGAAATAAAGAACACCTAACAAACCTGTTTGGCACAGAAGCACTTCTACTATACGAGCATTTAGAGCCTTCTGAAAAAAATAACGGTCCTCTTTAAGAACTGCACTGGGTTTAGTGTGTAGCAGATATGTTAAACTTTGCCACTGTAACTCTAAAAAAATTTGGACTCAAATGATTGCAATCTTGAATGAAAAATGGACCTTTGTTTGAGGTGTTCGTATAATTAGGAACCGCAAAAAAATTCGCATTTGGCGCAAAAACACTCCTACAATTGACATGAATTTCCATTCTTATGGATCATATACCGTTTTTGGCTGTGCTCTATCGCGTGGTATCAACGGCTTTTCGAGATTCTCCCAAAAAGCCCAAAAACTTACAAAATTTTGGGTGTTCGTATAATTATGAACCGCACTTTATGTCATTGTATAATACAAGCCTTTAAGTATAATCGTAAAACTTTACCCCTGTGTGTGCTTTTATAATTGAGAAATAGCAAGTTTTACTTGAAAAAATCGAAAAAAGCATTTTGCCATTTTCACACCATCTTTGCTTCTCAACTTTGAGTCCTGGAAAAAGTCCACCAAATACATTTTTGGGTACTACTATGTGTCTATTATATAGAGAAGTTCAAAGTCCATAGGAATTTTGAAAGGAGATCCGATTTTTAGGGTAGCTGAAGAAATTTGGTTTTTGGCTCCAAATTTTATCTGGATTACGACTTAAGTGTATTTTTGTTGGTGTTTTTGTAGAGCTTGCTTCGCTCTATCGAAAGGTACCCTAAGTCTGCTAGGAAAACGAAAACAGCTCAATTCATTTGAAAATGGTACTTTTGGGACAACCTAATAGAATCACCGTGAAAAAAGCAACTGCCAAAAGTTTCTTAAAAGTGTGGACAACCGCGTAGCAGGGTTTTCACGCTTGCCGATTTTACTACACATTTTTGCGAGCTTTTTGAGCGATCTCAAGGAAATGGTCACATTCTGAGTTGAAAAGACAACTGCTATGGGAGAATACTATGCATTGATCAAGCATTACAGTGAAGTGCATTCCATATCTAAAATCTGCGAACCTTGATTAATTTAGTGTAAAATCCGCTTGTTTCGTTTCTTTTCCGAGGCAAAGTATGGTTGTCTATATCCCAGAATCCTTCTTGAATTTCCTACCGTATTCTACACTACGATTGGAAATTCGCTCGTACAATACTCTCAAGAAAACGGCCCCAACTTAAAGCGGCCATTTCGACTGAAGCGCATGTCGTTAGCTGCGTCTTGATGAGCTTATTTCAAGTCGCCTTCGCTATCTGCAATGCCGTTCTCTGGAAAAAGTTATAAGCTTTCAAAGATCCAAATTTGACAAACATTCAGGGCCACATCCTTGAGAACTAGTTGTTCAAAAACACTTATCTGCGTCTCCGGTAGATGTGAGCATCTCTTAAATGCAGTACATTAAATATTTTGCTAGTCCTGCACTTCCAAGTTGGATCTTATAGCACATCATGCATCAGAGCTCCAGTAATTTCATAGATTTGAATGTGGTCAAATGCGGGAATTCCCTAGATTTCCAATGCATAACGAGCTTTAAAATCCATTGGAAGTGGACTAACAAGATATTGAGTGTACTGATTTCAAGGGATGCTCACAATCACCCGAAGAAAATGTAGGTGTTTTTGAACAACTAGTTCTTGAGGATGTGGTGCTGAATGTTTGCCAAAATTGGACCTTTGAACGTCTTTTTTCCAATAGTCCTGGCATCGCAGATTAGAAAGATTGGTTTGGATCAAGGCAAAACTTTTGTGTACTGCTTCCAAGCAACTCTTTTGATAGAGGAATCTCGATTGAAAAGATTATGACAATATTAGAAACTCCCCAACCTCAGAGAAATCAAGATTATTGTTATCTCGTAATTTCTCTTGCACTCAGAAAATTATTTGTTTGCGTAGAGGACTATATGTCGCTAAAAGTGGGAGGGTCCCGCGCGGGCAATGCATCAGACACTCAGCCAGTGCATCAGTGGCGTACCCAGGATTTCGGATCGGGGGGGGGGGGGAGCGGCAAAAATTTTTTTCAAATGAAGTGCGTGACGTCAGCCACGCACTCCAAAAAAAATTCTAGAGGGGCTCCTCAAAATTTTTGCGGGCCCCTAATCCCTAAAATCTGGAAAAATGGGGGCGTGGCGTGAGCCACGCCTCCGAAAACAAATTTTTTATAAGCTAATTTGATTCTAATTCTTTACAAAAATAAACAAGTCACTTGCACATTTTTATAACTCATGTAAGTAATTCAAAAATTTCGCGACCCATTGTCCCCCCCCCCGCCCCTCCCCCCTCGATACGCCACTGCTGTGCATATATTATAATAGAAGGTGAAAGGTGTATTTAAGTGTTTTTTTAAGGTGTATTTGTCGCAGACGGCGAGACCTCCCGCGACATATAGTTCCCTACCCCATTTGTTTCTTTGTTTTATGTCAACAAAGTTTCGTGTTCGTCGTTTTACCAACCGCTTTATGTACCGCTTACTTTCTCGGAATATTTTTTTCCAGGCAGGCTTACGTCAGTTCGACAAGAATGAGAATTTTCAATCTTACCTTCTTGTTACTTACCATCTTAGTGGTATGTTGACCAAGCAAGACATGACTTAGTTTGCCATGTTACTCCTTAGACTTACTGACTGTACATTGCTTCAATGCTTACAGATTCTCTCTGCTGTGGATGTTGGTGAATGCGGTTTTCTCAATAGGCTTTTCAAGGGAATACCCACCAAGAAGAGGCATTTCAAAATTGGAAACCCCATTATAAAACCTGTCAAATGTTATGCGCCACCTTCCTTTCGCTGCTCCATCGACGGTTGCCACATGACCGACTAGAAGGGCATTGATATTTCGTGCTCGGCTGTCGATAAATCTTGGCATTGTGATTCAAGTTGTAATACAGTCTTCAAGCTTCGAACAAAGTTGGTAGCAAGACTCTATTACGCGATAAGCCAACGTTTCGGCGGTCCGACCGCCTTCATCATGGCTTCTTAAAAGATCGAGATTTTGAGAACTGCTTGCTCAAACGCTCTCTTTGGCAATGTTTAGCTATGTGATGGAGTGGCAGAATAAATGTCGAAAACATGACTTCAGCCTTGTCAGATCGGGATATAGAGACCGAACAACCAGATTGCACTGCAGCTGCGCTATGAGTGAGTATGATAGTCAGCGATAACAATGCCCCTTACATGAACATAAATTTTATTTATTTATTTATTGTTACGTGCAAAAACACGTAAGTAGAAATAGTAAAAGGAGAGTCTTGCAATGGTATAAACCATAGTATCAGTGCATGAAAAAGACATCAGCAAAGGATATACATGTAATAACAATTACAGCACAAGACAATGAATTGGTTTCACAATTAGGAAATAGGACGATTTGTAGTAAAAAATTTAGCCCTGGGTACGCCACTGATAAATAAATAAATATATATATATATTAGGTCATTCCGAAAGTAATTTCGCTTTTTTCAAACGGGCGCCACATCTGATGGAACAAAGGTTTCTAAGAGATCTTGGTAGCATTCGAAACAGCATTTCATTCTCTTTCTAATGGTTATGAAATTGTTGCAAAACAATCAACGAGCTTTCAGAAAATAACCAAAATCTGCGACCTATGCTTTTTAAGATAATCAAGTTTCACAATTTTTTAAAACTTTCATATCAATTCTCAGAAGAAGTTCAAGTGACATTTCGATAGAGCAAACCTCATAAAATGCAGCGCAACTTTTTTCTCGTTTCCATAGCTTGTCATACATTTTTAACAGAATTTTAACTGATGCTACCGATTTCCATACTTGGACAGCTAAATCCTAGTAGAAAATCAAAGCTTGAGCAGCTCGGGTGTCATTCGATGCAACTTTTTCTCCTCTTTCTAATGGGTGTTTTTTGTTTCCGATTCGTTTAGTTCGGGAATATAATCATCATGACTCATTTTTTAGGGAGGCCCAGGCTGTACCCGTAAAACTCGAAAATTGTTGTTTCGAACACTTTCCCTCACTGTTTCCCTCACTTGCTTTGTAAAATTAATGCTAACTCATAGTACCATCTTGGTAGTCTCAAATTTCAAAAAATTATGATGTTTGATGCTATTGTGGTTGAAGTGGGCCTGATAAAATTCGATGTTTCTGCTAAAAAATCTTTTAAATTACGGCTGGCTACAAGAAGGGGAAAAAATAGCACTGCATTCTATAAGCTTTACTCTGTCGAATCGTTACTTGAACTCCTTCTGAGGATTTATATGAAAGGTTTAAAAAATTGTGAAACTTGACCATCTCAAAAAGCATGGGTCGCAGATTTTGGTTATTTTCTGAAAGCTCATTGACTGTTTTGCATCAATTCCATAACCAATAGAAAGAGAATGAAATGCTGCATCGAATACTACCAAGATCTCTTAGAAACCCTTGTTCCATCAGATGTGGCGCCCGTTTGAAAAAAACGAAATTAATTTCGGAATGATCTCATCTTATATATCGTCGTCTCCCCGGCGTACGTTGGGCGGAGCTTTTGCGGACATTTCAACACGTTGGTGAACTTGTTAACCCTCTACTGCAAGGCATTGTTTTCTGTGATCTCTCGCTACCAACTCTGCCACGTGTGACAACAGCATATATACGTGGCAAATTAGAGACTACAAAGAACCATACTTTGCAGTAGAAGCTTGACAAGTCAGCCAACGTGTTGAAATGTCCGCAAAAGCTCCGCCCAACGTACGCCGGGGAAACGACGATATAAAGCTGAATGTCCGTTTGTATGTCTGTCTGTCTGTATGTCTGTATGTATGTTCCGAATACAAATTTTTATTTCTGAACCGATCCGGACCAAACTTGGCACACATACACTACGGGCCCCGGCGGGTGTCATAGGCTACTTTTCGTCATCGATCGATATCGATTTTATCGATTTTTATCGATTTTTTGCTGAGTTCACCTACGGGGCTGGGAGTTGGCACAGGGGGATAATCGAGCATGGGGATTCCGAATACAATATTGGTTTTCGGGATTATCGATTACTTTTATCGATTTTATCGATTTTTTGGCAAAGTTTGAGCTAGGGGGCTGGGAGTTGGCACAGAGGGGTAATCGAGCATGCTGATAACCCCCAAGGGGGGGGTGATCAGCATGCTCGATTACACCCTGTGCCAAATTCCAGCCCCTAGCTCAAATTTTCAGAAAATCGATAAAATCGATAAAAGTAATGGACGATCTTGAAAACTAATATTGTATTCGTAATCTGCATGCTCGATTACCCCCTGCACAATCCCAGCCTCGCATGTCAAAATTTACAAAAAATCGATAAAATCAATAAAAGTAATCGATAATTCTGAAAACTAATATTGTATTCGGAATACCCATGCTCACTTCCCCCCCCCCCCTGTGCCAACTCCTAGCCCTGTAGGTGAACTCTGCAAAAAAATCGATAAAAATCGGTAAAATCGACATCGATCGATAACGAAAAGTGGACTGTGACACCCGCCGGGGCCCGAATTGTATGTGTGCCAAGTTTGGTCCGGATACGGCGGAGCCGGGTAAGCCAGCTAGTATATACATATAGCGTAAGTATACATACTAGTGGAACAAGTATAAAGTACATACTCTATACTTGTATGTTTCACTTTTACCATGCTGTCTTCTTTGACTATCATTTACAAATCATGTTATAGTATTTATTCGAAACTTCATGGTAGAGAAAATTTAAATCAACGCAAAAATAAATAAACTACATCGAGAAGACACTTTACAAAAAAACAACTGGAATTGCATTAGAATGTGTCGTTCACATCCATCTCCTCGACTGCAATGTCGGCGGATTCCGTTTTCGATAACGTTCAAGTCAGTGCTCACGGTAGATGTCATGATGCGCTTCTTCTGAAATACATCGCATCAACGGCGTAGGCTTCTAAGGATGAAAGATGTACCTTTGACGCCAGGAGAGTTCCTCGGTCAGCATCAAGATGGTAAGCACGCACATCCGTGCTGAATAGGCGTGATGATTGATTGCCATTTTCGCGTTAAATCAAAGCACTCACAGTGCTCTTCCCATGGCTATTCGTGTCAGTCCAATCCATTTCATCCGTGCTTCCGAGAGATCGTCGTAAATTCGTCTGCGTTCCTCTAGAGAAAACTACGAGGCATTCCAAAAATCGAAACGTTGGTACTGGATTGAAGAAAAGAAGAACACACGAAGCAGTTGCTTTAGAGCACAAGACATGCGAAGAATAGTATACCAAATGAAAACCAAATACTTACCTTTAGATGCAATAATGATTATTATCAAAGGAAAGAAAACTCATCACATCATTGGCGTGTTAGAACATGCGCTCGGGAATCGGGGCAAAATCGCAGTAATATCCGGCTAAAACTAAATTCATGTCTTCCGCCGGTGCACCGGATTTTGGTGCGATCCAGCATTTTGTGGGCTGTCCACCTGCGGGTGACAACTGCGAATGTCTGAGAAATCAGGCGATTGGCGATGGGCCAAAGGCTGGCACCAGCCGTTGTTATTGCCTATATGTCAAAAATCGAGAGCCCCGTATTTGCGCGCAAACCAATACTTCATTGCCGTTATGATGATTGTTGTATAGTTTGCGCCACACAAAACGAGCTAGACACTTGCTTCAATCTGCTAAACAACCACTCCCCAATATAAACTTTACAGAGAAGCCCAGCGAAAACTGGCTGCCATTTCTCAACGTCCAAGTGCAGTTGCGTGATGAATCATAAAAGACCAAGTGGTTTCGAAAACAAGTAGCAAAAATATATTGATACACTATCTCTCGTCCCACCCTTGGAGCTGTAGGCTAAAAGGTCGGTAGTCTATAATATGTTTAGGACTGCTAAGACAGTTCTTTTCGATCAAAAGCGCGCTACATCGCTGAGTCTTGCCAGACAGATTGCACAGTCCATTGGTTACCCAACAAACCATTTATCGAAACGTACTTGTCAAGAATACAGACCGCGCACAAGCAAGAATGAAGCTAAAGTACCTTTCTGTTTTCCTTTTTTATCTAAAGAATCCAGCAAAGCGATAAGAAAAAGCTTAGAACATGCAGGCTTCAAAGACTCCGTCAAACTTGTAGATATTCCGCATACTAGTCTTAGAAAACAACTAATTTAATCGCTCTCCGATCGACTATGCATGAGTACCGATTGCACCGTATGCCCATTTGGTCAACCAGGCGATTGCATGGAGGCAGGAGTAGTTTATAAAATAACTTGTCAAACTTCCGGGAAAGAATACATAGGAGAAACTGGCAGGCCTCTTTGTGTGAGACTCCAAGAGCACCTAGATGGTCTTATAAAATCTAAATCTCCTACACCCCACTAGGCGCACATCGCAGAGAGGATCACTCGGGTCAACAATTTGATATAGTTGTCACAATCTCAACGCGTGAACCCGAAATACTTCCTCGTTAAACGCTAGAAGCTTTTTGTATAACATCCAAAGCTCCTGCAATGAACCGCAAGGAAGAGGGTTCTGCCATGAGTTGTTATCTAATCGCATATCAAACCCTTTGCGGATTTGATCTACACTGGGATTGGATTCATCTATATAAGGCACTTGTACTGTTCTCTACTACTACTGACTGTGCAGACGCTGTGTGTTTGGTGGTGGCTTAACCCCGATTAGAAGACTGCCAAGGTGAGCATGGGCGACGGTTTCCGTCACGGCTTTCGGCATGACCTGATGCTGAATGTAGCCTAGGCTTGAACGAGGTGTTCGGGAAAACAAACCGCTGATGTCTATGACCTTTCAGGCTCCGACGAAGGTGAAGGCACCCGAACCCTAACTGAATAAATCGCCCGACTGAATAAATGTGTTGCAATCTTGGTGATTGGCTATAGTAAACATATACGAATATCCATATTATGCCAAGATTTATCAGTAATCGAGCTTGGAGGCCCTTTACATAATTGTAGAAAATTTTGTATTAGAATCCGCATAGTGTTTGATAGGAGAACGGTTCGCTGTTTGTGGCAATGCTTTCATGTTTGCGGTTCATTTTTGGTGGTTTAGACGCTATCCAAGAGGCCTGCAATATTTTGCGGGCTACTAACTCGAATTCGTGCGACAAGATCGTAACAGTGATTTAAAAATACTGGTTTTTGTGACATAACCTTTGGCACCCAAAGGTATGGACATTTTGGAATTTCTAAAGCCGTCAAGATGCCCTTTGATCCTTGTGCACAAAAGTCCTCCGGTCTCTCCTATGTACAGGTCACCGCATTTTTACAGTCTATGAGATATAACACTCCTAATTCCGTGCAGTCGCCTAGTTTTCCAAAGCTCTGATGATACAATCGGCGGTCGTGCACATTCTGTCATACGCTCGATTGCGGCTTAGTTTTTTTGTGATTAGGAGTAGGGATATCTATAACGCTGACGGAATCCGAGGCCAGCTTAAAACAAAGATTTACTGATAGCTCTGCTAAAATAGGTAGGCATTTGGGTAAATCGATCTTAAGATGCGATATCAAAGTTTTAGGTAAGCCTACGGAGTTCGCTATATGTATCCACACTCTGTTCAGACGACGACTTTGTTTTACAAAGCCTTGCTTGACAGAAGAGCAATGCAGAGTGCTATCGTCAAAATCAGTTATGGCCATATCTAAGCTACGCGACATCACGACGAATTCCCCTTTCTTATCTCGGTTGATATTCTTACTTCCTTTCTAGTGCATGGATTATGAAGTTTATGGAAACCGCGACGTTGAATGAGAGTGAAATTATTGATGATATGCTTTTTTACAAACTGTATTACAGTACTGAAAATTGATCGATCAAAATGAACCAGACAACAGGAACACTGTTTTGTGTTTCATTCGTATTTTGATGCAGAGCTATCAGAAATCTGTGTTGCAAGTGGACCTGGATGCCTTCAGAGTTATAGATATCCCTGCTCTCAATCTCAAAAACAACTGAGCCGCAATCGAACGCATGACAGAATGTTCACGACAGCCGATTTCATCATCTGAGCTTTAGTAAAACCAATTCGACTGCATGGAATTAGGAGTGGTATATTGGGCGGGCAGTTCTCAAAGTTTCGATCTTTCAGGAAACCCCGATGAAGGCGGACGGAACGCCAACGTTGGCTTAAAATCCTGCTACCAATCTTGGTCGACAGCTTAAAGAATGTATTACAACTGGGATATTGACAGTTTACCTTTGTGCACATCAGCTTACAAACAACGTCAGCTTCACAATCTTAACTTTTTCAACACAAGTACAAACACTTTGATTAAATTTTCTTTCTCTCCTTGTACCGCGACCATTGCTATAAAGAAAAAAGTGAGCACAACATACCTAAGTAATATAGCGCAAACTTTCGCCATACATCGCACATCCACCCATATTCATATCACAAACGGGCAGAAAATATGGATTGAAAGCAAAAAGAGTTTTCTTTGTAAAAGTATACGAACTTCGTAGTTCGTATTGTTCTTTTCTCTCTCTCAAAATATACAAATTCATTACATCCCTGTAGTTTAATAATACTTTGCCAATTGCACAGCATCGATGAATTTAGCAGCTTGCATCGTTTTTGTTATTGGAAGACTCGCAGATGTTCGCGTCAGATGTGAATTGCTCAGGTTTTTAGCTTACAGTAGGATGTCGCGCGCAGCTGTGGCTTGATATGTGATCACGCATATAAGTAGCTGACTGTGCACAGTCAGAGTTATTCACATGTACGACTCTTGCTCATTTGTTTTAACATTATTTCACTCGTATATTGGTGCCTTCTTTCAATCATATCATTTTTATTTGTAGTTCATCATTTAGTAATGTATTTTGTTATTTGTTCCACCCGTGTTTGTTGTTATCTGTTTAATCGTGTTTATTGTTGCTATTTTGTTGCCAAGATAAAGTTTAATTACCCAAGTTTGAGGTGTGCTCGTGCGTATACGAAGTCCCGCGTGGCAATACTGTTTGTTGTGGTTTGGTATTCGAAGTCTTATAGTTCTGATATACCCCCACCACCAACCAATACAAGTGGTGCATCGACCAAATCAAGAACCTTTTATTGCAGAAGATAAATTGTGTCTCGCTTGCTTTGCACGATACGCTTTGATTGTTGCACGATAGTGGATCACCTGCACATACTGGAATCACAGAATTTCTTTTTGCCTGCACTTCCATAATGACAACTACAGTAAGAGCGTACAAGGGACTGATGACCAAAAGAAGCCAAGTCGCTCTGGCATGGTTGGAAGAATCCACACAGCGTCTTCAACACCCGAAGGAAAAAAGCACACAACAAGAACAAGTCAAGGAATTCACAATGACTGTGGCGAGGTGTGACGAATATCTGGAACTTCTCGAAGCATCCTTAACCAAACTCACGGAGGCCTTCGATAAACTTCAGGATACCACAGACGACGAAGAAGATCAGTTAGACAAGCACGCGGAGATTGCTCAAGAGACTATCATGAAGTTATACGCACACAAATCCAATACCAAGCAGATGTTACAAGAAATAACGACGGGAACTATGCTGACAACAAGTGGAACCGACCACCAATGTTCGGCAGCAGTTAGCAAACTTCCAACTATACCTATTCCAAGCTTCACAGGAAAGAAATGGGAATGGGACAACTTTTGGGCCATAAAGCCAACGTACACGACCAGGATCTAACGGAATTGCAAAAATTCAACTATTTACTGTCAGCCCTGAGTGGGGAGGCGAAGCAATCGATCTCGCGATTCTTCGTATCAGCAAATAAATACGAAAAAGCCATACAGCATTTGGCGAAACGCTATGGCAACAAAGATGGCATTATTCTGGAACTGAACAAAAGCCTACACAACTGCTTGGCAAGAGGACCCACCACCGCAGATCAGCGTCAATTATGGGACAAACTTTCAACTATCGCAGCGCAACTAGAGGAACACGAGCAGCACCTCAGCAATCAGATAACAATCCAAATCTTTCTTCAGAAGTTTCACGTACGCATTAGGAAAGCAGCTATGGAGAAACGACTTAGACACAAAGAAGAAAACAATAGCGAGTGGACATTGGACCAATGGCTCGATGCCATTGATGACGTCATAGCACAAGAGGAGCAGATAAACCACATGCTCTCGTGCGAAATACAAGCAAGAAATCATCCAAATCACAACACGATGGCGACGAAAACATCTTCAGGACCAACAGGCAGATGGAAACCAAGCAACCTTTGTGAATGCTGTGGAGGTAACGGACACAGGTGGACGAATTGTTCGCAAATTCCTACAGCAGCACAGAAAAAAGTTTTTGCTTGACACTGGCAGATGTCTCAACTGCGGATCGATTGATCACAGAGTAGCTTCATGCCTTAGCGGCAACTGCCGAAAGTGCGGCAAAAACATCATACGGCAATATGTATGGAACAAAAGCCGGGCGAAGGCGCGCAAAATCGATCGGAGCGAAGTCAACAGAAGAGAACAGAAGTACCAAGAACACCCAAAAATCAGCCGAAGACGCCAGCAAAACCTTATTGTTCTTCGAAGCAGCATGTGGTAACGGAGTCAATCGGACAAGACACTCACGAAACAAAACAGGGAGCAACGGAAAGTGCCGAAACTCCAACGGTACTACAGCTTAAGAAAGAAAATGGCTGGAGACAGAACAGAGTAGTCCTACTCGCAGGAGCAATCCAGGTACTCGACACTGATGGGAACAAAAGGGAAACTATCGTCTTGCTGGATACAGGTTCAGAGCTCTCTTTTATTGGAGAGGAGCTTGCAAACGAGCTCAAGTTGCCAACATTAGGCACAGCCTCTCTCGAGCTCAGTACGTTTGGGTCACCTGCAGTGAACACAAAAACGTACGCTAAAACCGTTTTGAAGATGCTTGACAAGAAGGCACACACCACGAAATACAGCTGTATAAGAATGATTATATTACAAGCTCTGTACAACGAGCGAACCTCGACCCCGAAGATCTACGGTTCATCAAGGAAGGAAAGTACGATTTGTCTCTGCCTGTAGAAGGTGGAGACTTGCAGCCACACCTCTTAGGTTGCGATTACCTTTGGAACTTCATGGAACCTAGCAGCAATTTGAACCTGCCTTCGGGATTGCACCTGATACCGACCAAGCTAGGATATATCATTAGCGGTCGACAAGGATACACGTGTCAAAGGCTGGCGGTAGCATGCACACTCCAATGACATGAAACTGAAAAGGAGACATGGGACCGCTACTGGTCTTTGGAATCCACCGGTACGGAGGAGTACACTGGTCCACAAAAAACGGAGCTCCAGAAAACAAACGAGAAAGTATTGGAAAATTAAGGAGTCCATCGAGAAAAGGGAGGACGGCTATTACGTACGCCTACCATGGAAAGAGAACCATCCCGAACTCCCAGATAACAAGGCGCTAGCAATTAAACGTTTTGTAAAGATCCTGGAGATATATCAAAAGGACCCGAAGACACTACAAGCGTACGACAACATCTTCAAGGAACAACAAGAGAAGGGAGTAATAGAAGAAGTAACATCGAAGTACGTTGATGAAGGAGAAGTAGTCCATTATTCACCGCATCAGGCGGTAATCACTCCCTCTAAGGAAACGACAAAGATGAGAATCGTCTTTGACGCGTCAGCCCACTACAAAGACCGCCCTAGCCTCAACGACGTACTCCATCAAGGCCCTCTCATCCTCCCGGATTTGGTTGGAATTCTGCTTCGATTCCGAATGCACAGTATCGCAGTGATGTCGGACATCGAAAAGGCATTCCTACAAGTACGACTGCAAGAAAAGGACCGTGACGCCACCCGTTGTATCTGGGTCAGGGATATCTCACTCCACCCACGCCTGATAACATAGTGGTCTACAGATTCACCAGAGTTACCTTCGGACTCAACGCTTCCCCCTTCCTGTTAAGCGCTACGATAGATCATCACCTAGAAACCACAGCAAGTGATGACGACATGGCCCCGGAAATAAGAAGGAATTTGTACGTGGACAACTTATTCTTTGGTGCACAATCTTCAAACGAAGCACTTTTGAAGTATGCACACAAAGAAGCTCTTCCAAGACCTCAAAATGAACTTGAGAGAATTTTGCTCCAACGACAAAACCTTCTGCAAGGCCATTGATGAGGCCGACAAGATGAAATCCACCTCCCTCAAGGTCCTAGGCATCACATGGAATTCGGAAACGGACAAATTCGTAATCAAAGGCTCGATGGCAACCTTGAAGGGAAACGACACCAAGCGAACAGTCACACAGCAACTTGCTTCGGTGTATGATCCAATGGGATTTCTGTGCCTCTACTACTACCGGCAAAAATATTTATGCAGTCATTATGGAAGGAAGGTTTGGACTGGGACACACCGCTTTCAGCGCAATTGCGTGATCAGTGGCATCAAATAACATCAGAAATCTCGACATTACAAGGAGGTGAATCGACGAATCCTCAACAAATCCGATGGCCACAGACTTGTCGTCTTCACTGATGCTAGCCAGTGCGCAATAGAAGCATGCGCATATCTCACCTCTCAAGAAGAATCCAGCATCATAATGGCAAAATCCAAACTTCCATCTATCAAAACTTCAATGACGGTTCCCAAGTTGGAGATGAATGCACTAACGCTAGGCGTGCGAATGTCCCACTTCATCTGCGAAGCACTGGAACCACTTTGTAACATCAAGGAAGTTATCCTCTACACAGATTCGGATATCGTGTTAGGATGGATACAAACTCCTCCATCACGTCAGAGCGCAGGCGTTTTGGTCACAAACCGACTAACAGAGATAAGGCGAATCAGCAATGACCTCCGCGGTCGAAACACGACATGCCTCTTCGGACACGTCTCAACAGCAGAAAACCCAGCCGATTGCGGAACCAGAGGACTATCATCGGAAGCGTTTCAAAATCAGTTCTGGTGGACGGGACTCAGCTTCACGAGCAAGCCAGACCATTCTAAAGTGAACGCAATCGAAGAATCAGAGGCGTCATCTTTTGGCATGGGACGCATCTTTGAATCAGGCTTCGTACTTGTTGTCTGAGCTTAGGTATCCAGTATTTTTCGCGTACGGTAGCCATTGTGTGGGCGATTCCACGATGATAGTGATTGTGGACCTCTGAGATGATAAGACGTGCCAACGTTGTTTTAGATGCAATGTAGATGGGTGTTTTTGCTGTGACTGGTACATCGGATTGCTGCATGCGTCCATAGCAGCGTAAAACTCCTCTTTCGTCTCGTTGAATGTTCAGGTCCTTTTGCGACTTGATTTGGTGTTCGTCCACGTAGATTCTCTGGTGGTCGCGAATTAAGCACATTCGGCTTTCCTGCATCTCGACTCCCGTGATAGTCTGCGACATCGAAACTCCTTTGAGTGCCGGTATGTGCTCTTGCACAGCAACCTTCCTTTCGTGAGGTAGATGATTTATGGATTTGTGTATGAAACGCAGAACGTAGACTAGCACTCTCTGAGCTCTTTCGAGGGTGCTGAATCTGGTTAAATCGACTAATTCCTTCTCAGATGTTCTTTCTGTTACTGCCAAAGTCACCGTCTCCATTGGCATCATCGTCGTCTCTGGGCGCTAACATAATTGCATGATGTAGTATAATACAGTATTTATTTGTTCCATGCCATTCTATTGGAAAATCCAAAAATTGGAAATTACAAAATCCAAAAAAATGGCAAAACGAAAACCCAAAAAAAAACTGGCGGCCAGCGGCGGTCAGGGCAGGTGGATGGGACAAACAAGGAGCTGAACAGATCCAATCGAGCTTCCTTCCTTACTGGTGAGCTCCGGGGAAAGCCTAGGACCTGTTTAGCCAAACCGTCTGGTAGGAACGAAACGGTGCAACTAAAGATCCGAAGTTGTATTCCTCTTCTTGAGTAACACAACTTCGGCTTTTTTGACCGAAGTGTATGTGATGCCGGGCGGAGCCGGGTATGCCAGCTAATATGTAATAATATAACAACCAGTGGAAAAAACAGTGCAGTTTGGTATGCGGAATAAGTACTGTCCTTCAAAACAAAGGTAAAAATTTGGCGTCCAGGTTTTGTAGTAGATTCGACAGTTCTTTTCTTTTCATTTCATTCGGACGCTCAAGGCGTTCCAAATCAAAAACAGCAAAATGTCAATCATACATGAACCCAACAGTGATAAAAAATCACCACGTCATCCCAAGTCCAGTCCAGAAAACTATAGGGAGAGAATTAGTGTAGCAATATATGTAGCATGTATTCTTATCCTGACATGAATTCCAAAATAAGAATACGTTTCAGTAAATTATAGACACAGGTCCCAAAACTTTGCAATTTCATTCGCGTCGGGTCCCTAATCACATACTCCATATTGATTTTTGCAACTCATTAAACAAGTATGAAGACTTTTGGGCGCAACGTGCATAGAAACTACGGGCAATCGTTTACTAACCGAAAATAGATGTAGAAAAAGCGCGTTGCTCTTTTCACTATTTCTGTTAATTTTGAATTATAATTGGGTCCAATTCGTCAAGTAGGAGCAGATCAGACTTTTTTTTTGAAAATTTTTACACTTTTCTCGGCTATAACTGTCCTCTTTAGACAACGTCCTTCGTCCCTGTTATATGTGTATGAATTTTCTAGAAGAGATTACGCGCTACACACTACCTCAATTGAATTTGGTGTCGCTTTTGGTGGTATATCTATAGTCCCAAATCGCGCTCAAACGCTGTGGCGTATCGTCAATAATCCGGCTCGCTGTTATCACCCAATAGAAATGCTTGTAACTTTTATGAAAGGCTAGAAAAACAGCCGTTCATTGAACTTGTCACTTTGTCTGCTCCCAGGAATATCTGGGATATATTAGGTCGTCCTGAAAGTAATTTCGGTTTTTTAGCAAGCGTCATTTTCCGCCCAACAAAGATTTATGAAAGATACTGCTAACGTTCGATGCAGTTTCTCATGCCCTGTTGAATGATGTTATTCATGTTGTAGTTCAATCAACTAGCTATCAAAAAAAACTACAACGTTTTGAACATGGTCAAGTTTTGCTATTTTTTGAAACTTTTGCACTGTTTTCCCGAAAGTACTCTAGATGGAGCAAACCGGGATCCGAAACGTCATCTTCTTGCTATTAGGTTGGCTAAAAGATAAGTTCGTTTTGGCATACAAATCATCATAAAAAATTTTCTTGTTGTTTTCAAACTATGATTCTCTGTGGGAAAGTAGTTCGAAACTTTCTCTATCACATATCAAATAATAAGGATTTTCTATCGTCAGTAAAGACAGTTTATTGGTTTATTGGTTTATTGGATTACACTCTAGGTGTGCCAACATAATATAGTCAAACAACGACACAGTAAATTCAAACAATAGTCAGCTAATCTCAACAGAGTCAGTGTCTTCTTCAGACCCAGAGCTGAATAAATCAGAAGTAGAAGACTCCACATCACAGTCTGCTGGCATATCTTACTATCTTCCAGAATTGGATCCCACTTTTGAAGGCCAGCGAGCCTACGGGCGGAGGCTAGCTGACTATATCCCCACTAAAGCGTGTGAAACTCTGGAAGGACAGCAAAATATACGCATGACTAAAACTGAAAGAACTGTCATCAATGCTTATATGGTGAGAGCTGAAGAAATTTTAAATAAGAGAATGAAACACGAAAACACAAGAAATGAAACACTGTTGATGAATGATAAGAAACAACACGTCAGGGCATCATGAAGTGAGACTTCGATGATGACAACCACGTCCCGACACAATGTTCATATTCAAGCTGTTGTAATGCCAACGGACCGAGAATGAATGTGAAAGCCGGATCTGAAAGGAAATTGGTGTATTGCTAGAAATCAGTCTACTGAACTGATAAGATACTGCAAATCTACTTTCCTCAGTTTCATTTTGAAACTTGAACTACTGATAGAGCGAAGAACATCCGGTGGCAGACGTTGCAACCATCTTGCTCCACGATAGAACAGGCTGTTGAAGGCTAACAAAAACTTTCTACGGCCTATTCTAGGGTAATGGAGATTGAAAGAGAATGAGCGTTGACTAGCCGGCATAAATACCCAGTATTTGCTGGCTGAGAGGTTTACTTCTTTGCGCAGTACACGGAAACAAAAGACAAGATCAGCTATCATTCGGCGCTGCTCCAAACTTTTCATATTGAATAACTTGAGCCGGTCATTGTAACAAGGAATCTCCCCATATGGAGGCTGTATGCTTCTTAAGTATAAGACGGGTAAAAGTTTGTTGTACTTTTTCTATCTTTTTAGCGTCTTTTTTGAGGTAAGGATTCTAAATAGGTGAACAATATTCTAGATGAGGCAGTACGTAAGTTCTATACAGGCATTTGAGAACGGAATGATTACGATAATGAATGTTTCTGAAGATAGTATACAAAATTCTATAGGCCTTCTTGACCGCATAGTCTACATGTTGGGAGAACTTCAAAGTTGGATTTAGGTAAACTCCCAGAACTTTGCCCACTGTGCGCTTTTTCAATGTAATTCCTCTGATTTCATAAATTGGTCCTTCCTCCCGTCCAATATGCATGACCGAACATTTATCAAGATTAAGAGGAAGATCCCACTTCGTAGACCGGTCAAGCATTTTTTCGAATGATGTTTTAAGTGCGTATCGTACTTCATCACAGTCAGATGTCCCTTAAGTCCCATAAATTTTGATGTCATCCATATAGTTGCACTTTGATTGAGGGTGAAGTCTTAAGTATAGAAGGCAACTCCAATGTGTAGATAAGAAACAGTCCTTGTGGAACCCCACTCTAGCACTGCTGTCTATCGGAGAAGTTGTGCTCAACTTTGACTGTCATATGTCTATTCCGTAAATAGGAATCAAACCAAGCAAGAAGGTTCCCATAGATTCCATAAGCTTCCAATTTCATCAGAAGTTTGGAATGAGAGACTTTATCAAATGCTTCTGACAGATCAATAAAAATAATGTTAACGGAATCCCCTTTATTTACAGCAGTGGTCCAGTCGAACAAACTGTCTGCTAAATTGGTTAAGGTGGACGCGCCCTGTAAGAAACCGTGCTGCTCAGGTGGCATTATACCAGATGTTACCAACCAATCACTAAGTTTATTTCGCAGTATCTTCTCCATAACCTTGATCGACGAGGGGGTCATGCTAATTGGAGGAAGTCAGACACCAGATGTGCACTAGATACCTTGGGAATAGGAGTGATAAGTGCCTCTTTCCAAAGTCCGGGCACTTCCCAAGAAGCATGGAGAGATTGAAAATGTGTGCCAAAGGTTTGCAGAGGGCGTCGGCACATTCTTTATATACGATCTGAGGTAGGCCGTCGTAAGGTTCGCTAACAGAAGGTTTCAATTTTTTCAAAATTTTCCGAATATCAGACGAATCAAAGTATAGGTTACACAGGAGTGGTCTAGTCGATGGTGTGTCAACTAATTCATCGCGGGTAACCAAATTCACGTTTTCCCGAGTGAGCACACTAGCAAAATATTTTGCAAGTACGTTAGCTTTCTCAATATTTCCTTTGTATGTATGACCTTCTGTATCCTTGAGCACTGGTAGACGAGACTAACTCTTGAGCTTTATGTTAACATAGTGAAAAAGGTACTTTGAGGAAGTTTTTGCTGAAAGTTTTCGTTCACGATTTGCTAAGAATTTCTTTAGGTGATAGTCAATATCAGAGCAAATCTTTTTATACATAGAACTATAGTGGCTTTCGTGCGAACCTTTCATGAGCAAAAAAAGATTGCGCTTTTGTTCCATTAAATTTGCTATATGTTGTGGGTATCTGGTATTGTAAGGTTGAGGAATACGAAACGGCGCATGAGCCATTATGCCTTATAGAAAAACCTTTGGTAAACATCGTCCATAGAAACATACTGGTCGAATACATCTAGCCAATCGACGTTGAGGAGATCACTGGTAAGAGCGGAAAAATCAGTTCGGAAAAAATCGGGTATAGGAAAGAGACTGGGCTTGCAAACTTCTTCATTTAATATAAATTCTACCATAGAATGATCGGAGTTTGCGAGAGGATGCAGTATTTGAACATCAGACACAACTTTCGA